TTTTTTTTTTTGGTTTGTTTTTTTTTGACTGTGGATAGATGGACTGCATCTATCAAGTTTTATTGTGTTTATATATTGGTCTGGTTTAGCGGATTTGGCATTACAGATTAAAAAAAACTATAATTACTTTTATGGGAGTTAAATCTGGGATTATGGCTTCCACCACAGTTGTTTTGTCTCTAATTGAGGGGATTTTGGTGGTGAGGTAAACACAGAGGAGAGGAAAGGGTCTTTTAAACCCAGACTGAACTTTTCTCAGCCGCTTTCTGCCTCGAGGCCCCTGAAGTTAAAGTCATTAATGATGCCACGCGCTCTGCCGAGTGAAGGGTTGGAAAATATCTCAACGCTGGCATCTCCCATACACGGAGCTTCTTTCTGCAGCCGAGGTCTTATTGAAACGCCGTATCTGTTTCACTTCCACTGTTGCAGACTTGGTTTTCCACAGCCACAGTGACGCACTTTTCAGCAGTGACATAGATTATCGCAGTAAAACTTTTTATAGCAGGAAGCTATAAAAAGATCGACATTTAAGCGTAGATTTGCTCGTGGAGTTGCTGTGACAGAGCCATGCATCAAACTTGTACGACAGCGGAGATAATACTTGGCTTTTGCTTTCCTAGTGAGCCTCAAATCATCAGGTGGTGTAAGAAGCTACTCATTAGAATTGGAAGTGGCTAATATCCTAGCAGCCTTTGACATGTGTGTTTCATGTGGCTGTTATACTGGTATGGCATGGTGAGCGCAATCAACTGCCAGGTTTTGTGGTCTCCTAGATGAGCTTGTTTGTCTGCAGCTCATGTGATAGCGGTGAGGCAAAGTAGTAGTAGGCATGTTGTGGAACTTGCAGCAAAAGCACTGCAGTGTTAACACTGTACACGATGTCCCTGAAAGAGGAAGCAGACCAGAAATTATTAATTAGCATCTGTTCTGTAACTTCTGGGGTTTCTTTAAGTACCTAGTAAAATGTAGTTGTGTCACAGAGCCCAGCAGGAGTGCGGTACACATTTACATGTGGTTTTAAAGAGAGTGCTAACATAGCTGTTAACCCAGACTTAGTTCTAACTCTGGGGTCACGGCCACAGAGTCGGATGTAGGCTACTTCATGCCCCTACAGCATGTCCGCGTGTCAACATTTAGGCCCTTCTGTAGGCCAGGGTCAACCCTTTAAGGCCTGGGAAGCATGTGAAGTTAAAGCTTATCCCTAAGTCCACACTCAAGGGTAGGGTTAAAAGGGCATTTCAGAGAAATTGCAAAAAGCCATATTTTTTCACTTAGTCTTGTTGCTGTTGAGCCTTCCAGATATTTTTGTTTTCTGTGTGCCCTGATTTTGAGATATCTGCCTGGAAATTACTGCTGCCAGTAAAAGAAACTGCTGGCAGTAAAATTTTGTGGATTCACTGGAAATCTCCCATAAATCTCAAGGCCAAACTAAATGTTGTTTGTGTCATTTATAGGGGTGGCAGCAACAGTTTGCTTGGGATTTTTTTTTTCTTTGTTATTTGGGTGAACTAAACCTTCAACTTTGTAGGCTTGCAAAGCGTTGTACAGACGCTCATGTGGTTTTGCCCACAACAACCAAACCCAGTGTTTTTTAAAAGTACTTTTATTGCCCGATTTATTGAGACTTCTATAGGCTTTCCTTTCCTTAACGAGCCCTGTGAGCGCTGTGCTTCCATTAATCCGCTGAACATGCCTGCAATTTATTCCCACAGGACGACAACGACAGCACTTCGAATGAAGGAATCTTTGTGTCCAAGATCGTGGAGAAAGGTCCAGCAGACAAAGAGGGAGGCCTTCAGATCCACGACAGAATAATAGAGGTATGTGTGTCCTCCTCTGTAATGCTTCATGTAAATGGGAGGGGGGTAGAAACTACTGATGTAATGACTGTCTGCACCATAAAGAGGGAGAAACACCAAAGAATCACTCCATCTTTGTGTATTTTTGAGCTCTGAGCTCAAGCTGAACGCAATGCGTGACGTATGGAACCTGAATTAGCATTTTGGCCTTTTATTGGCGCTCCCGAAAGTCAATCCTGCAGACGGTGAACGTCTCTGATACGATTCTACCAGTCGACATAGACGATGTCAAGTAGGGCATCATTGCAGATAGGCCGAGATAAACCTGAGGCGAGGCTGTCTGTCTTTACTGTTGCTGGCTGATAGTGAGGGAGAGGAAAAGATGTCTTTTACTTCTCTCGTCCCAGCAAATAAAGCCCTTTCGACAGAGCAGCCATGAAGCGTCCCCCTTTCGCCTCTAAACAGAACTTGATGTGGAAAGGCCAGCTCACCCTGAGGTCAACTTGAGGGATCCATCGAAAAACTCAGCATCACAAAGGTTGCTTTTATAGAATGGTTGTCAACCAGAATCGCTCACAACGGCTGCTTTGAAATGAGTCGTTTATGTCAATTGCAAGTGTGTATTACCGCCGGCCGCAAGATGACAAATATGGCTTGTCGCTGGCTTTATTGTTAAACCTCAGTGAAATTGCCCCCGGAGCATTTTTGACCAGCTCATTGCTCACAGAGACGCCTGTGGAAAGTGTTTACACACACGAAAAAAAGAAGACTCCCAACATCTGGACTCCGCTGATCGCTCTATCCTGTCATTTATGCAGTCGAATGCTAACTACTTGCAAAAAAAAATGCCACAAGTCCTCTGGAGAAAGCCTCACGCTGTTGTTCCAAATAATATGGTTGTAAATCTGGCGACGTCGTGACTGAGAGGTTATGATGTGCTTCTCTTTGGTTTAAACCTCCTGAGCTCACACAGTCAAGTGTCTTGGTGCTCTCTGCAACTTAAGACCTCGTAACGAGGGCCGGTTGAACCAAAAAAGCCACTCAGAGATCAGCGACTCGAGACCTAAAGGGACTTGCCGTGGGCTGCTAGCTGATGTGTGGGGAGATTAGCTCATATGTCACACAAACGTGTAAAAGTGTGTGTCTTTGCGAGCATCTGCCCTGCTTGGCTTTATGAGTTTGCGTGCACATGTTTGCCTGGGCGCGTGTAAGCACAGGATGCATGCGTTAATGGGCCAGATGTCGCTGTATTTGGTTACTTGAGAAGGTGTATCTATGGGGTTTAATGCTGTGATAGCCAATCCGGAGCGGAGAGGACTGAATTTGCTATAGGATAATGCTTCCCTCGTGTTTTTTCCATATTGTTTTCGTGCTATTGTAGGTGAAGCCACAGAATCTCTCCAGTGCAGGAAAGGCCTAAGGAGGTAGCACAGGTTCCTATAAAGTAACCTTTTCTTGACGAGAAGTGAGGGATTGCCATACAATACCCAGCAAATAAATCATCAGATTTAATAGACTGTTAAAGGCCGATACTTCACATTTACGCCATTCATCGGAAGGGAAACCTGAGAGCGAGGCAGCTTATATTTCCAAGGCTGCTTTTTTTTTTTTGTTGTTGACTGGTTGAAGCAAGAAAGTACAATGTCACGGATTCCTGGACCACAATAAGAAATGTGACATCAAAACACAATTTGCTGTTGCACAGGTTTTATTCTGGACCTGAGGTGACTGGGTCTGTGAACTTTGTTTGTTCGCTGTCAAGAATCAAAGACGATGAAGCCCAAGTGCCTGAAGGCAGTTTCACGGTGTTTGGTAGAAACCAAGCAGCCTGTAACTGTGTCCTGTTTAGCATCCTGTGATGTATGCTGGAATTGCAGGAACAGCCAAACCTGGTTTATCTCATGTTTTACCAGAGATTGTTTTTCATGCACATAAAATATGATATCCGTGACTTCTGTGTTATCCTTTTTTGTAGTAGTAGTAGTAGTGGAAGTCATGCTTGCTTAAGACCTTTGTTTAATTATATCTGTGCTGCTTTTCAGTATGGTTGCAGGATGTGTAAATATCAGGCAGGGTGTGAGGTTTCCTTTTCTGATTAGGCCCACAGCTAATCATCGCCGCTCAATTTTTACGAGTAATTTTCCAGTTTATCTTTTTAATCCTCCTGCCTGCCCGAACGTTCCCCGAGGCCAAGGTGATATCTTCAGATTGGTTTTTAAATCCATGTTCTTACTTCTGAAATTAGCTCGTTTTTCTTAGACAAGTAGATGGAAAATTGAAAAACAGACGACAAACTAACAATCTTTTTTTTTTTTTGACTGAAGTGGTCCAAGGATAACTTTGCATGAGACATAGTAAATATTTTTCTTGGGAGAACTAGTTGAGATGGTGAAATCAAGAAGACATTTTATCCCAGTGCAGTTTAAAATTCGGCTTTTATCTTAGAGTTGAATTTTGAACTGGCTCGTAGAAATTTAAAGTTTATCAAAGGTTTAAGATCGCTGCTTGTTTTTATTTCAGTGAGCACCAGTAGCAGTCTTTAGCAGACATGTTTTTAGCCATATATTTAAGGCTACAGTCACACTCGGGGGAAAAGAGTTGTTGCAGACTAATGTACAACCAAAGCTAGTGGGACTGTGTGCAATGAATGTGCAATATCACTGTCCTTGAAATGAATGCTTCAATGACAGGAACCAGTCCTACAACCACTCAAAGTCAGGTCCTGTCTTCAAAGCACGTTTTGATGCATGACGATGGCAACGGAACAACAATAAGAATGAGTCGGTCTATCGTTCTGCTGTGTATTTGTAATTGAATAGAATCAAGTTGGCAGTGAGACGCAATCTGTTTGTGTTAACACGGTAACTAACTGTGATAAACTGGTAAAAACTGCCTGTTGCCATCTGATGGAAACCTGTTGCTGTGCCCACATACAGAAATTGACATTAACTTTTTCATTCACAGTCCAAGCAGCACCTCATAGATTTGAAATGGAATGAGAGAGAAGAGGATGGCTACATGTCTGCAAAACGATGACGCTCAACAACATTACTTTTACAGAGGAATGTAACAAGAATCTGACTCAGATTGATTGCAAACCGTCACCAATCTGTCTGAGAGCGATTGCACTTACTCTGAGTTGGGATGGGTTGTTTAGAGGCAGGTTGGCTCTCAGTCGGCGAGAGCAGCAAAAAGCAAATTAGCCCAGTCACCAGGCAACCGCTAATTTATTTCAAAAGGAGGCTGCCATCCTATTTTTATTCTAATTGGCTGAGCCTTAAGAATATAAGTCTAACATTTGCTTTCCTTTTAATTCTGCCATCGGTCTTTTTAACTGCTTGATGCTCTGCTGTGTTCATCAACAAGCCAACACTCTCATGTGGTGTTTGCGAGTCTGGTAGGCTACGTGCAAAACAAAGTACTGGAGTTTGAATATCAAAACTCTGGGCTATAAGAGGTTCTAAAAAGCCTCAGTCATTCTCAGTGGGTTGTAACTATAAACGATTTTTCATAATGCACCTTTGCACATTTCCTCTGCCCTAAGAGGGGAAAAAATATTGATTAATACAGCTTTAATAAGAAATAATTAATAAATGTGGAATCCTTTATTTTTAGCATCAGTGCCCTCATTTTCCATTATAGTGGAAATGGAAAAAAAAGAGCTTTTTGTTTTTTTTATCCTAACTCATGAAATCTGATTTGCAAGCCTATGGACGGGATAGTTTTGACAGCCCTTCACAATCGTGCCATGGGGGCTCAACTGCTCTGTAAAGGACCAATCACATTACAGAGCAGTGAAATGCTCGTGCACCTGTGGAGGCAGCGCTGTCATCAGCCCCGCTGTTTTCTCTTCCTGTAGTAGAAGTGTTAGTTCCAGTAAATCTATATGGATGTAACATGTACCTGATGATTCGTGGCTTGTCCTGCTATAACAGGCTCTTAGCGGGGGAGTGCGACAGCAGATGGCTGTCCTCTAACCGAGCTGCAGGCTGGTATGAATCAGCACACGAGTACCTTCTTGTTCAGACACTTCTTTTTTTTAAAAAAAACAAAAAAACAAAAAACCTTGAGTTGTGTTTGCTTTGGCTCACCTCTCTGCAAGCTGCAGAATCTTAGCACTCTGGTCAGGATCTGCCGGGATTGTGCCAGGATTTGATAAATAAGTTCTGATTGAACCTCGCACTGGTACCCGACTTCCCTAATTATGTCTTCAGGCATGAGTTGACTTTTTAGATCTGATTAAGAATGTTTTTCTCGTGTAAATGTAATCCCAGCATTTTGTCTTCAGCCTCACTTCACACAGATAAAGAGCCTCTTGCTGCTGTGCGTTTTCCTACATAAATGACCTTCCACTCTCTTCAAGCCTCTTTGCTATTCAACATGACTAAGCCAGTGTCACAATCCCAGGATGGCTGCCCCTGAGCTCTCAGGGTGAAAGGGATGTTTTCTGTGTAGGCTCCAAAGTGTGAAGCTATGAAGAGAACGGAGACGCCTGGGCTGCTGTTGTAAATGTCACCTTGTAAAACCTCAGCAAGGCTTTTTTTGTTTGTTTGTTTGTTTAGGTCAGAAGGTGAACAGAAACAGTTGCTTTAAAATAAACAGACACTAGGATAGGGCTGTTCGATATAACGATATATATCGGATGACGATATAAAAACATCTATCGTTTGTTTCGTGGTGTCGCAAAATAAACTGTTTACGGCAATATTTTATCATCATTCTGATGGTCACTGTAGTGACTATATGCATTTCTTAACGTTCTCTCTTTCTCTTATATTTAATATAACCACACTACAGACGGGCAAGCGCCTGTTTTTATGCGTTGTCGTTAGCAACAACAACGGTAACACCATCGCATGTCCACTTGTTTATGTTCCACATAAACCTTTCACAATAAAGCTCAAGATCCTGTTGAGACTTTTCAAAATAAACTGAATCACGTGAAAGAGCAGATTATTTACGGATGAGAAGTAAAAAAGAGCCGCCAGGTGCTAAAAAATAAACCTTAGACTCAAACGTTA